TTATGAGCAAGGTTGAGCATGTTTTTATTTAAGGCATATTTGCATTTCTTTTTCTGTAAAATGCCTGTTCATATCTCTTTTCATCTTGCTATTAGGTTGTTGGTCTTTTTCTTCTCTATTTTTAGAAAATACATATTAGAGTTATTAAATTATCTCTTATGTAAATTGCAACTATTTTTTCCATTTGTTTTTACTTTGCTTATTTTTTTAGCATACAAAAAGTTTTAATTTTATGTAGTCATATTTACCAATATTTTACCTTATTGCATCTGTATTTGATATTGCTAGGAAAATTTTCCCTACTCTCCAATTACAGAGGAATTTACCCATGTTTTCTCCTGTACTTGTATGGTTCAATATTTTATATGTCTGATCTTTTAGAACTTATTCACAGAACAAATCCAGTTTTATCCTTTTTCTTATGATTATCCAGCCATCCCAATACTGCCTATTTAAAAAAAGTATGTAAACGTATTCCTCTTCCTCACTGCTTTGAGATACAGCCCTTATCTATATATAAATTTTCGTATGTACTTGGGTCAGTTTCTCAATTTTCTTTTGTGTTCTATTAGTTTTTCTCTTCATGTGCCAACTGTTAAATTGTAAAGGCTTTATAAAATGTTTTAATACCGGATGCGACTGGCCCCTGCCTCAGTGCTCTTCTTTTGCAGAATTTTCTTGCCTTTTCTTATTTTCCAAATGAACTTTATAATCAACTTGTGCTTATAGCAGTGTTCTTAATCAGAGTTGTGTATCAGAAACACCTGTAGAGTTTAAAAACAAAAAACTTGGCCCCCACCCCAGACTTAGCAAATCTCTGAGCATTGGACCTGCATGTGCACATTTTGAAAAAGCTCTCTAATTGATTATGATAATTGCATTTAAGAAAAAAAGGGCTATAAAGTGTAAAATTCAAGTTCTATTTCCAAACTTCCTTATGATTTGTTTTCCCTGTTGTATTCTGAACGTTAGTTAATGATTTCACCATTTACCCAGTTTCCTGAGTATAACTCCTTCTAGTCGTCCTTCACTTCTTCCTCTCTCTTAGCTCTTTCTGTGTTCAGTTAATCACCAAAGCCAAATTTTTTTACCTCAAACGTCTGGCTCCAAACCTCCAGTGCCACTGTCTTTCACCATATTTCTCATGGACTGTTGCAGCAGGCTCAAAGTTGATTGATTATCTCTTCATACTACAGTCCATCATTAGCACTGTTTTCATAATTATTGTTCCCTCAAAACAAGGTTGATCATGTCACTCCTTTGCTAACCTTTGTTGGTTCTCAGGATAAATTCAACCACCTTACCTTGGTGTGGTTATTGGTCCCAGCCTCCTTTTCTGGCCTTTATCCTTCTCATTCCAAACCCCACACTGCATATTCCTGTTACACTGCATTTCTCATAGTGGATGGACACCAGAACTAAGAGCTCCGTGTATTTATGATTATGGTTTTCTTCACTTAAATGTCCCCCTCTCCCCCTTCTTGGCTTGGTGAACTCTCAGTTTTTGTGATGCAGTTCAAATGGCATCTCTTTGATAAAGCCGTTCTTAGTCTCCTAGTCAGAATTGGAGCCCCATCCTCATTATTCTCACATAACTTTATTATTTGTATCTTTACAATGTGATTTGTATGAGTCTCTAATCTCTCAGGAATTTCACACTTTCAGCATCAACCAGAAGGTAAGCTTTTCATGTTTTTCCAGCCTCTAGCACGATGCATAACATATAGCAAGCACTCCAATGTTTGTTCAATGAGTAGAAACAAATAAAGCTTCATTAGTTTGCACTGAATGAAACAGAAACAAGACTTGACAGTGGCCAGCTTGTTCTACTATTGAGATCTCTTATACTTCTGCTTTTTTGTAGTCAGCGTTCCTAGACTTTGTTCTCTGTACATAGCAATTCTTTACTCTTTAAGGAACCATGTACAGTACCCATAGTAGTAAATTAGGTATCTATCCATCATTTATCTACCTGTTTAAGAAATTCTATCTTGGTTTTAAAAACAGATGCTGTTTTAGAGAAGAAAGTGCAATAATTTAGCCCACAGTAATGGCCTAATTAATTAGTCTGTTGGATTGGTGTATATCATATATAGAATGTTACAATTATCAGTAAAATTGGAAAAGATCTGCTTGATTATTCTTTTGCAGTTCCATACATGATGCGGTACTAATTTAAATGATGATCTTGGGTAGAAGACTTAAGTATAGGATCCAAATTACTTTATAACTTTAACAATTATTTTCTCTGCTTTCCCCCCCCCAACTCTGTTGTAATCTCTAAAATGATCAAATGTGATAGCATGAAGAAAGGGAGGGAGTCATTAAAAAATATGACTTAAGCACAAATTGTCTTTAGTAAGAAAGTATCAAATAATTGGAGTAAGCAAGTTTAAAATGTATAATTTGCCATTATTTTTTAAAAATTAGTTTAAAAGTATAGATTACATTGGATAATTAATATATTTGAATTACCAAATAACCTCAGGTTATTAAAGATATATTTTAATATAAAAAGTAAAGCTTTTATTGAGTTTTTATTGAAATAAAGAAATCTATCTTATAGATACCAACATACATGAGTTTTTCATTTACCAATGACTTTATTATTGATTTCCATCTAACTTCATCTTTGTGAATGTCGCAAAAATATTTCCCATCAAGAGCCCTTGATGATAATAAAGATATTCTTTAAACATGTGTTTAAAAAGACATTAAGATCAAATTCTTCATTATCACCATTTTTATCTTATTCCAACCTTTTGAAGACATTAAGTTCCCCCCTTTTTTTGTTACTTCATTATAAAATCAAGGAAATGAAAATGTGTTGTATGTGGATTGAACTTGAAAAAAGATACATATATGTAATACACACACATATATATAGATAAAATTTTTGAATTACAGTTCTAAAATCACTCAGGAAGAATGATACGAACTTTTAATATGAGTTTTTCTATAATAGTTAATAACTTTCATTACATATGTACCTTTTTTTCCTGTTTATTGGGCATATTTCCACAATCTGAATTGATAAAGGAATGTTATTCTGTCAGTTTTTTCCTTATAGGTTTCTTCTGTAAAAGTCAGGCAATGTAAAATGCATATCCTTATGAAACCCATTGTTTGGAAAATCAGTGTACCATCTCCTAATCCAATATTATTAGAACCAAAAATCACACCATACTTTATAATATATTGTTTAAAATATTTAAGTAAAGAATATATTCAATATGCCACTTTGTTAAGAGAAACATGTTTTAAGAGAATGCTTTATGAAAATTAAGACAACTTGAATCTAGCCCTTTTTTCTTAATGCTTTCAAAATTAAATATTTTCAGTAGTAACTCAAATCATTAGCAAAGTATCAATAATGTACTGTTTAAAATATTAAAATACTTTGCCTATGGAAGTATCAGTGAATTTCATTGTTTACTTCCAAATGTTTTAAAATACTGTTTGAGTAATGACCACCATTATAGAAAAAGGCATTAACTTTTTTTGCATATTAGTTTGGTTGGAATAACTAAATGCTAGTGTTCATACTTACATTGTAGTCTATATTTTTCTTCTGGAGCATTATTAGTAAATTTTGAGATTGCAGAACTATTGACCCAGTCATACATGTTCAGAGCTTGGCCTCTGAGTTAATTAAATATGAGTTAATAATATATTATAAGGAAATTATTGTCCTTATTACAGTTATTAGGTAGTTACTCAAATTATAGCTTCAAAGGAATGCAGAGCATGGAAAACTCAGGATTAAATTATGCATTTGAACCTTAGGCCAGCTTTTACTGTAGAGACAGTTTGCTGCTAAGAGAGAAATTGTATGTCATTGAAATTAAATGCTTTTCTGGGGATGGAAGGTTCCAGTTTTTAATGAAATTACTGAGTGTGGTGTAGTGAAATGATTAAAATCAGTATTCCGGGAATGTGGCAGGGAAAAAAAATCAATAAGTGCTAGCACAGCTTTGCTGCTCAATGTGAATCCTGAGAATGAAATAAACTACTACAAAAATAATAATTAAAAACATATCAGCACATTAATTTATTTAGCATCAGTCTCCTGAGACATCATCTTCACTAATTTTTAGCATACATTTTACTATGTAATGAGCAGCCTTCTTTTCAGATATCCCTATTAGACAGGCAGTATTTCTGCCCTTCCCCCAGTGCTCCTGCACTGCAATCATTGTACTTGCACTTATTATGTTACAAATGACCGAGGTAAGGCTGACATTCTCAGTGCATGCAAAAAGACCTAGTCTGCCAAGCCTTTTTTTTCCCCCTAATGAAGCAGCTTTGTGAAATCTCCCCATGTGTTAATACTAATGAAGATCCTCCAGCACAATTAAAATCACAGCCAGTGGCTGAGGAGGAAACATAAAACAATAGCATCTTTTAAGATACATTTATCCACATATATATGTATAAAATATATTTATATGGTCAAGTTATTCTCCTTTAATTTTCACTTGATCTTCATCATGAAAATTAAATTATGCAATTTTTAATTATATGAACTTTGAGAATTTAATGTGTTCGAGGGGAAAAAGCACTACCTCAATTAAATTATTTAAAAAATTACATACCTTCTTGGGTGATAAAATTTCCCAAGGTTAAGTCTTCTTATTTTTTTAATAATAATTTTTAGGAAGCTATTCTGGGGGAATGGGGTGCAGGAGGGAATGGGGTGTTGTAGTTTACCTTTATTTTAACTTGATTGGTTGTGGGAGGTGAGAACTGGATGGAAAAAAGTGGAAAGGTAAAAAACTGAGAAAGTTGGAAGAGGTTGTAGGGGTAGACAGATAGCATACCGCGTGTAACGTTTAAAGATGGAGCAATGAACTACCAGTCTTAACTTTTTTTTTTTAAAGTGTTCAATTCCTACAGTTCTTTTACTTCTCAGAAATTGGAGGAAAAAAAACTACTATCAAGATTTTTTTTTAGTTTTTACATATAACTTAAAAACTTTTTAACGGCGTTAATTTAATTTTTTTATTTTATTTTAACTCAGGTCATAAACATTACAGCTAGTTTAATCTGCCCGTGGAAGGGAAGTAGTAGCGTATTACCCCGGGACCATCTTGCGTCCTGCTTTTAATTTTGAGTTCCTAGTATCCTCGAATTCTCGGCATATTAATTTAGTTTGGCATGTAGACTTCCACCGAATTCTGAGTTTACGGGCACAAAACTTTGGGTGAAGGTGGTTAACCTATGCTCCCTATTCTCCAGTTTAACTTTTTTTTTTTTAATTAAGTTTTCAATCCTGTTTCCTGCCCTCTTTTCCTTTAAAAGCAAAACAAAACATTTAAGTTTCTTAACTTTTTCCTGGGAATGAACGGTGCAAACTTAAAGCTACAGTATTCTTGGAAGGAAGAAGCAATCCCCTCCCTTGGCTCCTTTAGGAGCTAATAGGTCATTTATTTGGAACTGAAATGGTATAAACAATTCTCTCTCTTTTTTCCCTTGTTAACAGCAACTTTCATTGTTAGAGAGAGAGGAGAGAGAGAAGCCTTGTTGGTTGACGTCACTTGGTTCATGAAGCCTTCGCCTAGAAGTGAAGCTGCTGAACAAACCTTGAGAAGAATCATCTCCTGCTTCAATCTGCTGCTGGATAGGAACTAATCAGAGAGAGAGAGGCGGAAGACGGAGAAGGAAGGAGTCAAAGGCTTCCCCGATCACAAATCTCACCTCCACTCCAACTCTCTTTATACTTTTCTTGCAGAAATAGTAATAAGGAGGTGGTGGGCTTTCCAAAAACAAAAAATCGTAACCTTCAGCCGTCTGGGGGAGGCAAAAACCCCATCCACCGCAACTCTCAGTTCGAAAGTAAAGGTGAGTTAAAAATCCTCGGGTGTGAGGGGGGCGGGTGAAGATGAAAATTCCAAATGTTGTAACAGTCGGCTGAAACCGAAAAGGAGAAACTACGCTCCTGCGAGCGGGGAGACTCCGGAGTTGCTTATCTTGCGGCGCTCACCCTGCCCGCCTTACTCGCCCTGCCGTCGCTGTTTACCCTCGCTGGTCGGTGGGTCTCTTTGTTGTGCTGGCTGGAAGGCTGGGGTGATTCTCAGGGTCCCGACTGGAGTTTGGGGGAGGAGGACGCGGAGATGTGCGGTCCTGGGTGGGAGGTGGGGGGAGTGCGATCTCAGGAGAATGTAAACTTTATTCCTAGCTGCCAGTGCGGGACTTCTGTCTAGTAGGGCCGCGCCGTGCCTCCCCAGCCTGGCCGCCGCCGCCGCCGCCGCCGCGCCTTCTCCGGCTCGGGCAGGCGCTGCCGCCGCGAGTCCGCCTCCTTTGTGCCGGCCGCCCCGGCTTCGAGTCTCATTCCTCCTCTTCGGCTTCTAGCGCTCAGGTCTCAGCCAACTGTTTTGCTTCTTGAAAAATCACATCTGGCACTATTGCGATCGCTGTTCCTACCCCAGAATACCCGCCCCCCCCCCCCCCCGCCGGGGTAGTTTCAAAATACCCCCCCCCTCCCTGTCCGCCTGCTGTTGCCTTGTTTTGCCTCCGCCCCCTCTTCCCTCGCGGACTCTTTAGCTGCGTCTGCCAACCCCCCTTCCCAATTAGGCCCTCTTGCTCTCTGTCTTAGCCTGGAGCGCTAGAGTTTACAGAAAATGAGCTGAGGTGGGGTGGCCAGGTGGGACGGGGAAAAGATCTGGGTACCTGGGAAGATCTGTGTCAGTACGCAGAAGGTTAGAGGAGCATTGCTTTTCCAACAGTAATGTCTGTGAATCGGTCTCCCATCTCTTAGTAGTTCTTCCCCGGGAACAACCGCCAGTTCTCAACTCTTCTGCTTTCCTCTTCCTTAACCTTGTCGCTTCCCCCCCTCCCCCCACCTTTTCCGTTTCTCGGCTTCCCTTCCCTTAAAGCAGTTCCACGAACCCCAGGATTGGGATTTTGGAAAGCAAGTGTTTGAAGAGTCAGAGCTGGCCCTGCTGCTTGGAGATTTTCTCTGCTTTTCTCTCGCCCTCTGTATTTATCTTTTGTGTGTTGCTTCCTTATAAAGAGAGAAGCAGCTGCAGTCCTTGGCCGAGTTGTTGAAATTTATCCCTTTGTGTATATTACAATATCCTCCATTTTTTTCCCCCTGCCCTCTAAACAACAAGCGTTTCGCCATCTTGGGCAATTTTTATTCCCAAGTCTCTCTTTTTTATTTTTGAGGACGGGAAAGCAGACCTGGAAACGCAAAAAGTGTGTCTGCATAAGACTCAAAGTTTAAGGAATGTTAAGGGGGCCAGTGACGTCATGTAAACTCTAGAGAGAAATTTTCTCAAGAGTAATTTTTTTGCTTATTATTTTCTCTGTTTAAAAAGATTCTGTGACTTACAGGTTAACGATAAGTTGTGTTGCTTTTTTGTGTTCTCTCAAAATGAACCTTAATAGTCTGTACGTTTTATGTTTTGGTAACAGGTGGAAAATTACGTGCAAAAAATGGTATAAACTTTTATTGTGGCATTTGGTATTCGCCTAGCTTCTTTCTACGTTTTTTTTCTTTAAAGCTTTCAAATATTATTTTTAATCAACATATTCCCTTGCTTGTTTGCTCCACTCTTCGCTGGGGATTTTTCTTTGATCTGCTTTGTTCATGTTTATGTATATTTATTTTAGATTATCTGGCTCCCGTTTTGTAATTAAATGTTCTATTTTTTACATATTTACGTTTCGAAAAGCTATAACCGAGTTTATTTAAATGGTTAACTGTTGAAAATACCTGAATACACCAGATACTTTTATTTAGTATGAGCTATGAACTCAAAAGCTTGGCAAAAAGTAGCTAGTACTTAAAATGTGGAATTGTTTTTAAAAGATATTTATAACCTCTGGCCATAAGCTTTCTGTTGGCCATTATGAACAGATAAACAATAGAAACTAGTGTTCTTTTAATTTGCTTCTCTAAAATAGTTTTCCACCTCACAAAAGTTCAGCTGGTCACATGACCAAACTTAATGATACACTGACTAGTATATAAATAAGAGGCACTGTAAATTGAATGGAAAAGTGGAATTCTGTCTCCTGTAGTCATTTTCAGACAGCATATTTACACCTCTTCTAACAAGGACATGAAACTGTCTGTATTTAATTTGCATTCTCTTTGTCTTCTGGGTTGGGGAAAAACATTGACTACAGTTAACTCAAAAAAGCTAATAGAAACAATTCTGAATGCATTGAAAAAGTCTAACACATAAAAACTTACTCTGTATGTGCTATGTTTTTATTTCTATAACATCCTTCTTTGGTGTTATCTGCTATTTATCCAGGAATTCGCTTTATATAAAATGCTATATAGAAAGGTTGACTGAATTGAACGTCAGCCATTTATGTGAAATGTAGGTAGATGAAAAATGTTTAAATAGTTAAAAGCACATAGAACAGATGGTTCTAAATTATACATGCAACAAAGGACTAGAAGATTTGGCAGATTATAAATGGCAAGCAACAGAGGATAAGCAGTTTAAGAAAATGGTAGTTAAGTACATTTGATGTCTCACACCTCTTGTAAACACTCTACATATTATTGTCACAGTGCTGCATAATCGATAATTTAGACAACATTAAGGCACTTGTGTGTTTTAGACAGGAAAAAAGGTAAAATATTTCCAGTGTTTGAGATGAGTGGTTGAATGCAAAATTATTTTAAGCCTAGGATAAGTTTTTTTTTCCCCCCCCTCAGGAAAAGAAGTTGTATTACTTTAAAAACAGGAAGTTATTTATAAGAGCTTAATATTGTTGTATTCATATAATGGTTTGGGGAGAAGGAGGAGTAGGTACATACTTTAAAATCCAGGGAATAGTATCTTTATTATTCTTGTATGTTGAACTGGTGCTGAGCAATAGCAACATTTACTCTTTCAGATGTTAATTAAAATTATTTATAGAATATTCACTCTTGGAAATGCATTTATTAGAATACTCTTGGCATCATTTACTAAGTACTTATTAAATGAAGGAAGGATATATTTTAATATTAAATTTTGAGTCTTGTACTTAACATGATAATGATTTTACTTGATAAAATAGTTCACTCTTAATTTTTAAAATGTGAATTTTTTTTGTCTTTCCAGAAGAATCAGGATGTTTAATTATATGTAGCTTTTAAAAAAATTTTAGAATAATTAATTATTCAACTTGGCAGAAATTTGTTTTTATTTTTATAAGACTTTCGTTTAAAATGCATATAAGATGGTAATGGAAACCTTGGAATTTTAATTCTGTTGCCCTTTCTTCCATTTCTTTGTTTGCATGTTTATTATAGAACTGTGGTGTAAAGGAGCAGATGTTTTGCCACACATCCTGATGTGTTGCTTTTTCTTATGGGAGTGCATAACTGTTCCTTCTGATGCATCAACTTGACAGCTGGTTGATTTCATGGAGCTGCTAAGAAGCCATTAGTGGTGTCATTGAATTGAAACAGAACAGTCACTCCCAGCTTGAACTGCAATTGTTAATGTCTTTGTTGCTACTTTTGTGTTACTATACAAGATGTAGGATATCACAGTTGCAAGAAAGTTCATGTTTTCTGTCTTATCTCCTTGAATTAGTGAAAGTGTATGTTAGAACTTGATTGCTTTTAGGTTTAAAGATTTCCCATACAAAGGGATTTTAAGTTGTAAGATCTGAGTTTTTGCTAGAACTACAAGAAGAATATGATTTAGCACAAAGTAATATGTTGATTTTGACCCCTAGGTGAAATTATATCATCAAGATTTAATGATTTTTAATATACATGATTTCCTGTGGGATTAATTATCTAGTTATTTTAAGATGTTTTTGACTATATAAAATTAAATATTTTATACCATGAGGTTTTAAAAATACTGTGCTTTATTTAATAAATGTTAACTCATTTGGTTAAATGTTTCCTTAAACTTTTGTTATAGAGTTATTTTCTTAATAACCTCCTTTATAAGGAGGCCAAGATACTAAATAATTCACACAAACTGTTATTTAAAATATTTTACTAGTAGTCATTTAATGATTTTTAAAAAATGAAATTATATTTTTATTCTAGTAACTTTTAGTACCACTCTTAGTTTCAACTAGCAAACTGCGGTACTAAAATGGTGTCGGATCATCCCATTGGTACCTAAGTGTTTTCTTCTTTTTCAAATTGTATGCATGGTTTTTGGAGTGAGAGAGGAAGGGATAAAGGAAAGAAGATAAAGATTGAAAATCTCAACAAGAGAAAAACACATTAAAAAATTTGTGTAAGAAAATTTTAAGATTTAAAAATATAAGATATTTTATCACTAGGTTAAGAGATCTTTTCTTGGCCAATTTTATTGATTTTAAAAAAATTTTTAATTCTTAAAGTACTTTGAACGTTTAAACAGTTCTTCAAAGATTATAAAATTTATAACATTTAAAATAATTTTGGTTTTTAAAAAATAAAATGTGAAATTGATGATTAGAGTATATAATTTGTTGAATTCCTTTAAAAGGACTTCTTATGCAGTATAAACAGATTTTAAACATTCATAATATCCCTCTGAATAATTCCAGAATTATTATTTCTTGAAATTATAAGTTTATGGAGACGTGAAATAGATCCTATATCTCTGAGACTAAAGCTAAGATTTATATGCAGGTAAATTTTCTCTCTCAACTCTTCTTATGTGATAAGTGAACAATTCGTTAAAAAACAAAAAGTATTACCTTAGACTATGATTCAGTTTTTAAGAAATGTATTTACTTATGACACATTTGTGTCAAGGCAGATGTTCATATACACCAAATTATGGTAAAATGAGTTATATATTAAGTATAAACTTTTTTTAAAGTACTCTCAATGTTTAATCCATTTTTAGACATAATATACTGTTAATTATAGTGCAAAT